AACAGATGATTTATAGGGTCCCCTAATTTTCAGGGCATTTTTAGGATTTTCCTACTATTTATTACATTTTTTCAAAGATTTTTGCATTAAAAAAGCCAAAATAATCGCAAGCAAACACCGGGCGTGATCTCAGCCCGTCACCTTTCACAACTTGCACAAGTGTACGTCAGTCAATATGACCACATCCTTGCCTTTTACCATAAATTATTATTTTATTACTTTTTCTTAGAAAATTCATAACTAAATACACAAAAATCACAATAATGTTCCAAAAATTGCTACGAACTCATTGAGACTTCATCTTCCTACTGAATTCCCTGTTTCATGGTTACGCTACATTAGTATTTTATTATTATTTATCCTAAATTATTATTATTATTATTATTATTATTATTATTATTATTATATTACTTTTTAGCCTGTACATTTGTTAATTATATTTACTCAAAATTTTAATTTTGCGTGCGAATAAACCATTTCTGGTGCTAATCAATTTCTCTCTTCTTCAATTTGTTAATTTTTTTTCTTTTTTAGGGTTAAGGGATGTTTTGAAAAATAAAATGGAAATATACAAGCCATCCATTCTACAACATGAGGAAAAAATTATTCAAAGTCATTCACTGTTCAAGTTTTGCTTAAGAAACGTGTAACCAAATCGTTTGGGATATGATAAGTGGGAAAATGTCATTCCCAAGCCCCGGTGAAAAGACACCTACTCACTCCATGCATGCCTTTTGTTTACCAAATTTTAAGATTGCAATTGTGCAAAATATCTGTGTTAGTAAAATGTCGTTCGTACGCATCTATGATGTCAGTAATCATTCCACTATATAATATATATATATATTATGCATTTATATATAAAACGATTTATGACAGCACAAACGCCAGACAAAATAGATTAAAACCCAACGTTTAAACAACATTTGTACAACGTAGCCAGCCAACCTAAAACTGAAGAGAAGCAAGTCCACAATGCATAAAAACCGTAAAAACATACTACAACTAATTATAAGGGTATGGATTCCCTGACACAACATACACACGCATCACCTCGAACCAAAAAACACTCTCACGGTGCCATTTGCATCGATTGCAACAAGTCTAGAAGGCAGGATTTATCTTTGCTTCAGTAGGTCAACCTTGAATAACAAAACACCATTTGTTGTTACAAGCGCTGCAGTGATTGAACTTAATCTTCCCATAGTAAAACATATCTACGATATGTCTTGCAACAGAGAAAACTCAGCTTAATCTTCGTCTTAAAGCATCCCTGGTTCCTTTCATATCAATGTTGTTACGTTGATTCAAAGAACACAAAAATTCTAATGCATCCTCTTTTGACTGATCAATTCTAGACATGCCAAGTAGTCCAACTAGATATACCGCTTCCATATGGCCTGCCGTGGCTGCAATGCGCATCCCATACAACGCTTCCACTTTATCCTGCATGGAAAACACTTCGAACACTTCTCTAAATATTGACTCAGGGTTCTTGCAAGCCCTGCATTGTTGCAAGAAAAGCTGGACCACAGGATTGGCATGGTACCAGCTAGGATGGTCTGGGTACTTTGCCATTGAAATGGTGTTCCACACTTGTAGATTGTTTGCCAACGTATGGAATAATTGACACACAGATGTCATACGGAAGAGATCTTCTAATGATTGGGTTGCCACGTATAACATCACTTTAAACCAAGCTAACTCCGGGATGAAGGCTTGGGGCATATCCAAATGGAGATGCTTCCTTCTCTTTCCTCCGAGTGTAGTGAAATGTTTCAAATTCATTGAAATGTTTTTGGAATTGAACGATTTGAGGAGTGGAAGAGGAGAGAAATGAGAATATATATGGGGTTTTGGTTTTGTTTCAGCCTCTGTTTGTTGTGTTTTGAAAAGGTGTTTCCACTTGGGGTTTTTCCAAGTTGACCCTTTTTAAAGAAACTAAACCCAACACCCTAAAACTCAAGAGAAGAGTAGGGAAAACGTCATCGAAATGCAAAGAGAGTCAGACAGTCAAAAAGTCAATTAATAACCTATTTGCATAGCCATTTTTAGGATTTTCCCGCCATCACAATCATTGATACAAATGTGATGGATTACTGACTAGTCACAGAAGGTCCCATCAGATACTTTTTCATTTTCCCACACCAACTAGTTGCCTTAATGAAATATAATTAAAATAATATATTTAAAGCAGTGTCCCCTCAATTTTCATATTAATATTTGGTAGTGAAATATTATATTGGTTTTTGGGGTAAAAGGTGCCACAATTCTGACGGTACAGGTGTCCAGATCGTGACCAACCTACCCACACACAGAAAAGAATGATATAATTCGATTTGGGCAGAGATGAGAGAAAGCTGAGTGAGAAGTTTAGGGTTATGAGTGAAGGGGTATGACTGAGAACTATGAGTGAGAAGGTATGAGTCTGAAGAGGTTTTAGTGAGAAGATCTGAGTGAGAAGAGGTACAAGTGAGAAGATTCAACATGTCTTCGTCTTCATCTCTCGCTTAAACAAAGAGGTGTCAGTATTGTGGAGCTGCAATGGTGCTTTGGATTTCAAAATTAGATAAAAATCAAGGGAAGCCATTTTGGAAGTGCCTAACCTCCTATATAAGTTTTCATTTCCAGAATATGTATGTGGGTGAAAAAAACCTATGTCTAACTATGACGGAATTATTTTGCATATATGATGCCTGCAATTAGGGAGTCACTAGTTGCAATGGATTCGAATGGGTTGATGTAACCTCCGATCAAGCAGAACAGCAAGATGACATGTATGATGCTACTGTGCTGAATATGCTGAAGGCCATTAAGGACTTGGTATTAGTTTTATTACTTGTATCAATTTTCATATTATTTGTTCTTTTAATGACCAATTAAGTGCATAGTTTCAAGGATTGTAAAAGTTCTCCCCAAAAAAGACATGTTGCACGCACCACCGATGAGTTTTGAAATCAATTTTGTAATTTTTGTTCTTGAAATTGGTGGATTGACATTGAGTTTAAATTATTGTTTGAAACAAAAGCATTTATTTGTTTGAAACCCAGCAAAAACTTTCCAAGACTGACTTTAAAAAAATAAAGTCATATGAAGACGATAAAATCACAATACAATGCCAATACGATGCAATAATAAGACAATACATTTTTTTAAAATTGCATAATTATTTTGTGTATATAGATTGTTTATTTGCGTATACGGAAGGTTTATTGATTGTTTACTGCATGTATATCGCATGTTGTTGCTCAGATGTTGAAGGTTTATTGATTGTTTACTGCATGTATATCACATGTTATTGCTCGGATATTGCATGTTTATTGAAGGTTTATTGATTGTTTACTGCATGTATTTCGCATATTATTGTTCCGATATTGAATGTTTATTGAAGATTTATTGATTGTTTACTGCATGTATATCACATGTTATTGCTCCAATATTGCATGTTTATTGGGGGCAAAAGTACCACTTAAGTAAGATTTAAGGAGTTAAATTTAAGGGGGGAAACGATCCTTATTCTTTCTTTTAGTAGAAAGAACAACTATTAAGTAGAATTTCCTATTCAATACAACTTCCTTATGGATGGTGTAATTGGGGACTGATGTTTATTACATGTCTATTGCGTGTATATTGCATGTCCATTGCATGTATATTTCTTGTCTGTTACCTGTGTATTGTTGTTTATTTCCTTCGTAAGCAATAAACAATCAATACACATGCAATAAACAAGCAATATAGACACAACATACATGTAATATAGACACACCAATATACATTACTTTTATGCTACTGAGCTGCCCAAAACCAATAAAATAAAGAAAATCAACGAATTTATTAACTGATTATAAAGGAGAGAGGGATTCAAACCCGAGGGGTGGTACGGAACCAATAGAGAGTTTTTATAGCATTGCAGCTGGGGACATTTTTTCATGAAAGAGGGCATAGTTGAATAAAACATTGGAGGCGAGGGCATAGCCGCCTATTTCCCTTACAGAATTACCTTATTAAGATGCAACCCATTGCGATTAAGTCAAGGCATGTTGAATGGCTTAAAGATTGGGATTTGATATTTGGAATGGTGGCTTGGATAAATCATGACAAATCACTTTGCAATGATGTAATAAACTTAAAAAGCCATCAGTCCCCATTCACATATGCAGTCTTCAAATCCCAATTCAATGCAGTTTGGTTAAGGTTATGTAAATGTCATGAAGGAGTTAGGCCAATATTACACAGATGTTTGTTTCATTAAATCCAAAAAAACTTTACACTCCAAATGCACATTCTATGTATGGGAATGACATGTGCCTAACTTCAAAAATGCATCCGCCTATCCATTTAGATTGCCCACGTGCAATAGATTTACAGATCTATTTACTTTTCTCCTCACCAAGCCTCTGCATCTCCATTTCAGATTTTCATTTTTCTGTCTATGCTCTGCATCCAGCTACCATATACATTTAGCTCAGTATGAGAATAAATGTAGCATAGTATCATACTAATCGAAATGAAACCATGCATCCGCTATAATATTTGCCACTATTTGGTTCTAATTGTTATTGTCCAATAACTTCAACCTAAAATTATGTACAAAAATACACTATGATTGAGAAAGACGAAGAAGAATTGAGGAGCGGAGGTAGAATTGGAAAAGGACTCGTGGGTTTGCATTGTGTATTTACATGAGTTTCAAATTGGAGATTCCTAAAACCAATTTAATCATCTTGTACCTGAACCAATTTCAACCAATATCATGGCATGTAAGCATCTCCCCATAATATCTCTGCAACCAACTTCAACTGGAAAAAAAGTATGTTCTGCGAGGTGCAAGTAGCTAAAGGAATCTCAACGCTCAAAAGCTCAATGTACTTCAACACGAACATGCCACAATCACCTCTGAAGCAAAACAATAACTTGATCAATTCAAGTAATGACATTCTACTGTAATTGACAATTTAAAGTAATAAAATTAAATTAACAAGCTGCGCTAACTTATTAGACTATTGTGGAACATCCACACGTTCTATTGGCCACAGACACCACCAATCTCGGCTGCAATAGTTTGCGTAAAAACCTTCTTCATAAAAATCGATGGTGTTGAGAAGATTTGGAATCGTAATTGAAAGCGGGGCGAGTTCTTCCTTTAAGATCTCATCTGGAATAAGTGAAACCATTGAATCGTACACTTTGATTTCACACTTAACCAGATCAATCATTAGAGCCACCCAATGCTTATACTTCGTCAACATACAAGGGGCATACACCTTATACGCGTTCTCCCAACTCATCCCACACGCCGGAACCTTGCCATTTACAACATTCAATAAACTGTTTCTAATTTTCCACCCAACTTGCTCTGTATTTCTTTCATTATCTGCAAAGCAAGTATGGATGTGATTATGTGAAATAGAAAACAATCAATGGTTAAACACTTCCACAAAGCAAGTATGGATAATTTTGTAATTATTAACTGCACTTAGTCAAGGCCTATGACATACCATAAAAAATACATTGGTCGTTGTCCAGTTCGATATTTCTACAACCTCCAATTCTTGTTGTTGCTTTCGGATGAGATACAACCCCAAATCAATGTGCTGCACATATTTTTCTTGTCAATCTCATAATCTATGTACATTAAAAGAAATGCATAATCAATTAAACTTACATATCCTTTTAGCCAACCGTCAGCTTTGACGAGGGAAACGAAGAATTTAATCTCAGGTTCCACATCCTCAAAAGCCTGTTGATGCTGCTCCTCCCACTAAATGTCTGTTCTTGCTTCAACCTTAACAAGGGGGAGAAAGGTTGGATTTTTCCTACATAATTGGATATGAATCTCCTTAGAAAATTAATTTTTCCTAGGAGACTCTGTAGTTCTTTCTTGTTTCGGGGTGGTAGAGCTTCTATGATGGATTTTGCTTTATTTTTGTCAACCTCTATGCCCCTTTGGTGGACTAAGAAACCTAAGAAATTCCCTGCTTGAACTCCAAAAACACATTTTTTAGGATTCATCTTCAACTTATGTTGTCTCATTCTTAGGAATAACTTTCTTAGATTTGATACATGATCTTCCTTATTTGGGGATTTAATCACCACATCATCTATGTATACTTCCAGAGAATGTCCTATGATATCATGGAAAACAGAATTCATAGCTCTTTGGTAAGTAGCTCATGCATTTCTTAAGCCAAAAGGCATTACAGTATACTCAAAAGCACCTATATGTCCTGTGCACGTGAAAGCTGTTTTGTGGATGTCTTCTTCTGCCACCATAATCTGATTATACCATGCATTGTCGTCCATGAAAGATAGCATCTGGTTATGAGCAGCTCCATCTACTAGCATATCTGCCATTGGCATAGAATATTCATCCTTGGGAGATGCTTCATTCAGATTCATGTAGTCCACACAGATTCTAACTGCCCCTGTTTTTCTTTTCAGAACCGGTACAATAGTGGCTAGCCAATCAGCATAAATGGTTGGTCTGATGAATCATGCCTTGAACAATCTTTCTATTTCTTCCTTGACCTTCAGTTCCGTGTCCATAGACATTCTTCTTCTGGCCTGTTTGACTGGAAGGTAACCTTCTTTAATTGGCAGCTTGTGTTCCACCAGCTTTCTGTCTAATCCAAGTATTTCATGATAATGCCAAGCAAAACAGTCTCTAAAATCATGCAAAAGTGCAATCATCTCACTCTTGAGTGTTTCTTCCAATAATGCACTAATGAAAGTGGGTCTTGGATCCTCTTCCGTCTCTAAGTTTATTTCTTGCAGTGGATCTTCTACTTCTGGTAGAGAATCATCTAGTGCTGCTGGTGCAAAATCTAGTACTTCCTTATGCAAACTCTCTTTCTGTTCTTCAGTGCTCTCATGAGTGAATTCTGTCATATTGATGGCTAGATCCTGCATAAAGAGCTTCCCTTCTTCCCAATATACCAACAATCTTTTTGTAATGGATCAGATTGTTGCAGCTCGATCATTCTCTTGTTGATTGGGACTAAACATCAGAGTTCTGGAGGTTTAGAACAAAAGGTCTATTCCAGTCATCTAGAAAACTGGCTAAACCATCTTCAATGAGTCTCTGGGCCGTGACACCATGGGGGCGGCCATTCTGGTTGACTCCAAGGAAGGTGAAAGGACCAAGGTCATCATGATAATACCTTGCCTCAAAACACATGGCAGAGGGCATAAATGGCCGTGGATCGGCCTCTACTATCTCCATGTAACCTTCTTCATTCTAAAGGGCTAATTGTTGATATAGAGTGGAAGGAAGACATAAGCTCTAGTGAATCCAATCCCTGCCAAGCAATGCATTGTAAGTGGTAGAAGTGGTATCTACCACAAAGAATGCAATCTTCAATTATTTGGTTCCAATTATGACATCCACATCCAGGATTCCATGAGTCTTGGTAATGCCCCAGCAAAATTGGTGACAGTTAAACGTGTTGGAATTAAATCCTTCTCTGTTCTGCCCATCTTGCTCAACAATCTGTGGGGTAAAAGATTAATGGCTGCACCTTCATCTACCATGACTTTGGGAATAGGAATACCCCCAAAGTTTGCTGTTATGAACAAAGGTCTGAGGTGATTGGCCATCTCCTTGGTTGGTTTGGAGAAGCAAAGCTGTTCTGCAGTCAGTTTCATGGCAGTTCCACTTGTCTTGGTAGTAGGGGCTTGCTGTTCTGGTGCCTCTTCTACTTCTACCAACCTACACTCAAAGCTTTCCTAGGAGAAAACATCTCCTTCCAAAGTGTTTTCTTGCCCTTCTGCTGCCCTGAATTCTTCTGGCAAGATGAAGACCATGTTGAGGCCCAGATCACCCTGCAACAGGCTCTCTAATTCTGCACCAAAAGCCTCAGTTTCTTCATCTAGTTCTCCATCATACCCCATTTGTTCTTCCCCATATTCTTCTGCCCAGTCTCCCTGTTCTCCTGTCTCGAGGAGTCCGTTCTGGTCATCTGCAGATGGTTCATAGTCCTGCTGCTCCTCTTCATACTCTTCAGTCCAGTCTTCTTGTTCTTCTACTAGAATAGGTTCTGATTCATTTGTACTTGTGAAGGCTCAGGTTGATTGACTGAGGATGAGGCAAGATGGATAGAGGGCCTGCTTGGAGATTCTGCTTTTTACCAGCTTTTGCGGCTGGCAGGTTATTCGTTTTGCCTGAGGAAGTACTTCCAGATTTTTTCCTTTTCTGGCAGAACTGGTCTCTGGAAGTACCTGTGTATCACCCTGGTTTTTGAGGAATGTGCAGTACTGCCTTTGAACCCTCCTCTTTTGAGTTATGGTTAATTCTAGAGTTGGTCTACCACTTTTCCCCATAGAATACCATCTGCCTTCTATGATAGTTGCTAAGGGCTTTTCATTCCCGGGCATCTTAATTGGTATTTCCTTCTTGGGCTGCTCTATCTTTCTTCTGCTATACTGAGCATGCCTAAGATAGTCATTCTGCCTGGCTTTGTCTCGAAATGAGGTTCCAATCCTATCAAAAACACTAGGTGTGGGCTGATTCTGCTTGTCCAGAACCACTTCTAGCTCAGTTTCACACTTGCACTTGCTGTAGAGCACCACCCCAGCCGAGATAGTTGCTTTTGGCCTTTCATTAGTTTCCCTTGTGATTGCTATGCCTCTGCTGGAGCTAGCTTCCGTCGTTGGTCTGCTTCTCTTCTGTTCTAGCCAATTTAAGTTGACCATGTTGACTTGTGGCTGGGGAAAAGGATCTGTTGTGACTGATGAAGGTTTCTCCGCCAATTTTAGCCTTCATGCTGTTATTCCCTCCTATATGACATCCCTGAAAATAACACAACTATTGGTGGAGTGATTCCAAGAATTGTGCCACCTACAATACTGTCTGCCCTTGAGTTCCTCTGGTTTGGGCAACCTGTGGGGTGTCTCTATTGTTTTCTGCAACAACATCTCATCAAACAAGGCATCCACCTTGGTCAGATCGAAGGAATAGACCTTGTTCTAGGTTGGCTTGTTTGGAACAAACCCTCCTGTGAATGGTGGCGGCTTCTGATCCTTTGGTGGCTTTGTAAGAGCCTTGCAACTGATGGGATGTTTCAATTTTGCCATCTCTGCTATTGCAATTTCTCTTTCCTTCGAGCCCTCTGCTTCTTCTTTTGATTCTACCTCAACCAGATGTATTGAAGAAGAAGAGGACTTGTAATACGTGCCTTTGGAGGAGTTCCTCTTCTGTTGTTCTTCCCTAAGCAGCTCCTAGTATTTGGATGCTTTATTTGCCAGTTCTTCCAGATCTCCAAACAGCATCCCATCAAATCTTTTTCTCAGAGATCTGGATGAAGTGTCTTTCTTCCATAGGATTCGGTACTTCATTTTGAGTTTCTTGAACCTGGTTATGAAGTCTTGAGCAGGTTCATCTTCACCCTACTTGAGGGTAGCAAGATCACTGATGGTAACTTCTGGCTGAATCCTGTAATAATAGTCATGGAAAACACTTTCCATCTGCTCCCAAGTTTGAACAGAATTGGCTGGCAGATTGGTGTACCAGGTGAAAGCTTGTCCGGAGAGAGAATTTCCAAAAAGCCTTAGCTTTAACAGAGGGTTATTTTCTATGGCTATGCACTGGACAGAGAACCTGCCTATATGCTCAACTGATGAAGCATAGGGATCCTCTCCATTGAACAAGGTGAAGTTTGGCACCTTGAAGCTTGGTGATAGAGGTATTTGATCGATATAAGTCGGATATGGCTTTCTATAGGTGGGCCTCTCTCCTGTTTTGGCTTCAGGCTCCATCATCTCTCTGATCATTCTTTGTAATGCCCCCATGTCATTCAAAGCATTGACATGGTGCAGATTTCGTCCCTGTTCTGGCTGGACGTGATCAATCCTGGGCTCCGCCCTATATGGCCTGGGCAGAGCTTCCTCCCTGTGTTCGTCCTGCACTTCTAGATCTGGATGATTCCTCCAGTTTGCCCCCGGCCTGTTCCTGTCATTGTTAGCAAAAGGGTTGTTCCCCCCTCTGCCTCTTGCAGGTGGAGGGAATGGATTGAGATCCATCCTTCTGAGTCTGTAAGGCAACACTGCTGTAGCTCAAGCAGAAGTGCCAAAGGTTGATCATGTGGGGTCAAAGGCTGTGGAATAGGCTGAGGTTCTGGCTGATTCTGCTGAATTTGAACTGGTACAGGGCCTTCTGGCCAGACTGGGACCTCACGTTCTTGGACGGGAAGGGCTCATCCCCTTTGTCCAGCTTGGATCTCTCCATGCCCTGGTATTCCAGCTATTTGTGCAATGAGAGGGTTCTCCTAGCATGGCCACGCTAATCCTGGTGGAGGGCCATGAGGATTTGAAATTCTGGCCATAGCAGCCTCACGGTTCTTCCTGAACTGCCTGTTAACCTGCCATTGCATTATAGCTGTCATGTTATTGAGAGTATCCTGGCTCCTTTGTGTTGTAATCTCCTGTCGGAACACAGATTCCTGTATTTGATTCATCCTCCTAGAGCCGGTCCTGGAACGTCTGCTTCCGGTACTGCCGTTGGCTGATTGCCTGGCGTCACTTTCTTCTGACTCCAGACCTTCCCTGAGAGCTACCTAGTTTATCTCCATGGCGTGGTGCAAGTTCTGGCTAGAGCTTCCAATATTCATAAACTTGAGAAGAATTCTGTCAAAGTCTGTATACTGAGAAGTCCCACTAAGCGTGCCAAATTATTCACCCGTTTTGTTTTTGCTCCTGTGATGGAAGGGTAAAATTCACCACTGCCTTGGAAACCATTGACTGGTCAACAAGTCAGCTTTCTTCGGTGTGCGAGCGTGCCACTACTAGCTTTGAAAATCCTAGCAGACTTCTTTAAAATGGATAACTTGTGCCCCAAGTTATTGATTTCTAAATAAGTGATTGTGAATTTGGGTGAGGAATATCTCCCAAGTAAGTTCTTTTCTTGCCTCAGACTAGTGAGGACTTCACAATTTATCACAGTATAAGATTGGTAGTTCTGGCTAGAATAAATGATGATAAAGAGGACTATTTTTAGGCAGAGCTGCCCTTTACAAGACTTGGAAGGAAAAAATCAACTCTAGAAAGATAAAAAGAAAGCTGGAATTCCATTTCTGCCTGGATAGAAGCTTCTGATTCGGGCTGGACTGAATATGTCTATGCTGGACTGGACTGTTAACAACTTCAACTGCTCAGCTTCAGCTGTAAATTGATGCCAACGTTCAATTTTGGCAGAGTTTTAATCTACTTCAAGCTTTGGGAGGCTTTTGAACAGGCAGAACTGCTGCTTCTTCAGTCTGAATGGGCAGAAGTGGCTGGTCTTGAGGACTTAATGAGTTGGAACTGCACTGTAAACTTTGTTGAGGTTTTCATATTTGTGAAAACTCAAGCTCTGCTTGTTCTTGGTTTTTGCTTAACCAAATTTGTAACGAGAGGAATCTCGTTTTGAATGACTTATTTGTCTAAGTCTGAACTTTGGGAATTCTGATCTAAAGCTGGTTTCTCTTGTGGTTCAAGTGAGCTTTTGGTTGATTTTTTTGTTTGTTTGTTTGATTGATGAATTGAGTGTGTCTTATTCTGTTCACCCTCTCTTATATTTATAAGAAGTGTTTTCTGGAGTAGGGAAATTCTTTTAATAATGGGCGGCAAAATTTCTCAAAAGATCTCTCAATTTTAAATATAGAGAAAAAGGGATTTTATCAATTATGGTAGATAAGCTCTCACCAGTCATTTCCTATGGTAGCCATTTCCTTGTATTTTGAAAGAAAACATATCCCTCTTTTTAATTCCCAACTGCCCTTTGTGATAGGTCAAACTGTGATGGTTAGTTTGATCCCTGCTTTCCTACTTATCTCTTTTTGAGAACAAAAATTTGCTTATCTCTTGGAAGGGTCGCCTTCCTCTGACGTGAAATTGTATTAAAGAGGATTCTGATCTTTGAGCCCCAGAGTTTCAGAGAAGTCTCTTTGCTTAATTACCTGCTTCTATTTAATTTCCAATCACTTCCCCTGTGACTTTTCCAAGTCAGGAGATCACGTGGGTTTGCCTCCAATTTTTGGGTTTTTCTTCTTTTTATTCATACCGGACCTGCCTTTATTTTTGTGGAGCCCATGGCTAGTTGCTTTTTCTTTTGAGTCCCAATTTTGCTTTGCCATATTTCAATAAATCTTGGGCTAGGTCTTTCTGGACTTTGGGCCTTTGATTCCTATTTTGTACAATCCAGATTTTGGACCTTGTGGCTTGTTATCCTGGGTGGGCTGGGTGTGCCAGATTTTGGCCCAAACACTCGTAACTAGGGCAAAATTAACTCACCCCTACTATCAATCATTTGTTGAATTAACTACTTAGGACTGATATTATGGTGTTGTGTGACAGAGTATATTATGGTGTACAAGTGGTATTTTTGGTAGTTGAATAGGGTGTACTTAGTTAATTTTACGTTTGATTAAAATATTATGGTGTACTTAGATCATATAGTGTACTCAATTAATTTTAGTGTTTGTTTAGCAACACTCTTCACAAAAATGGGGACCCCTAAAGACCGTTCAAATAATTGAAATACAATGCGTTGTAGGCCCTACAAGAGTGTTCTTCAAATAAGCTTATTTGAGAGATCCCTTAAAATACATTAATATTATAATGTTCTCTTATTAGAGATATAACTTTGTGAGACACATATTTATGTTGCCCAATTTGAATCTAGATCTTACATTAATAAAAATTAACATGATCAATAGTCCAAATTCATAGTTTGAAAACAAATTGCCAGACATTCTAAAAAAAAATAGTATTTCCCAGTATATGTATTGTAATGTCCTCTTGCTAAATTGTGAATATAAACCACACAGGCGGCAGTTGACCTAATTAATAGTCCACATTCACAATCATGACAAAAATATATCTTCCTATATTATATCATATGTACACACAATATTGTTTATTTGTTTTCCAGGTAATAGCTTATTTTTCTTTTTTTGGCCAAGAATGTAATTATATATATAGCTAACAACGTTTAATTATCACTTCAGGATAAATATGTCTGATACAGGTGACGTGAATGATTAAAAGAAGAAAATGACATAATAGATTTTGTTCTATCCTCAAGCAGTCGAGCTCAAGATGAAGGAAGGTGGTAACTTGAAAAACACAAGAAAATGAGTTCCCCATATATGCAAAGTATTATGATCCTCCTTCCCATATTGTGCCTTCTATGGGCTTGCTAATGATTTGATTAAGTTGACCTACAAAAAGAAACATAAAAAAAAACAAAAAACTTATTATGTAGGTCACCAAATAAATTACAACATTAATTTTGAATTAAAAAAAAACTTGGCCCAAAAAAAAATAATAAAACAAAAGGGATAGAAAATTAATTATGAATAAATATATTGCCATATAATTTGTATTTTCAGCCTCCAATTTCTTATTTATGATGCCTTGGTAAACCCTAGTTTGCCATGGATGTCAATGGTAAACAAATATAACTTTTGGGTGTCACGATTAAAATTCAAGTCCTGTTAAGAGATGTGAATGGTTATCTGGGATATAACAAACAAAGCCAAGCAAAGCAAAAATGTTTTGATCTGCATATATCATCCGCTTCCTCATTCCTAATCTAAAGTAATATTAATTGTACTATATATATATATATATATATTATAAATAAGAATTGAAAATTACCTGAAAGATAATACTGCTGATTAATGTTGTTGATTGAACGCTGCTGGTGCTGGTTTAGCGGAAGAACAACAGAATCAACCAGTTTTGCTTGCTTTATGATCTTCTCTGGACTTTGGAACTCACAATTTGAAGGATAACCATATGAGGCTGAATCTATTATCACATTCTCGTTCTCATGAAGATAACCACCCAAATTAATGTTGTGATTAGTGATTCCATTAGCTCCTCCACCATTCCAACCAACAAAATCTGACAAAGATTTACTGAAACACATTCCCTTTTGCACTTGTGAAGGATGAACCATTTGAATTTCATGGTTTTTATATCGCTTTAGCTCATCAAAAACCATCCTGTACTCCCCGTAAGGACCCAGCACGGGATCTTTTTGCCTACAAAGAGCTTCCCAGACCAACGAATCAACCACATTTCTCCGATTCGCTTCATTGGCATTCTTCACCATCTTCGTTACATTGCTTACCCCGAAAACTTTGTGCACAGCGAGGAATTCCCGGGTTCTGTCAGCAGGAAAGTAAGGAGCCAATACACACCCATCGTGACACTTTTTCCTTTGATGCTTGCATGCTGCACATGCTGGTTGTGTTCCTGGTGTGCCACTATTCTTCCTCTGCATCCTAATATATATATCAAGTACTTCTGTTAATTAAAACAAATCAAGATAATACGTACCACACCAAGAACAATTTGTTTAATTATACGAATGTGAACGAAAAAACAAAACAAAACACAACGAAAAGTCATTCAAGTAACATAAACAAGATTGGAACAAGAAGCTTTACAAACCTTGTGCTATATACATATATATAATTTGATGTTGAGATGAAAAGACAATGTTGGTATAAGTAAGAAGAAGAAATACAAGTGGGTAGAATGGAAGAAAGTTTAATTGTATCTAAAAAGCAGCATGTAAAGATGGCAATGAGTTGTGTAAGGGTTGAATAGGGTTTTAGGTAGTTCATGGGAAGAAAAAGAGTTCTATGGAAAGAATAAAATAATTGGGCAACAGTCTTCTATGGGAGGTAGACGTGTAAGGGTTGAGGAAATAATTTACAAAAGAATTTTCATGATACATAAACAGTAATTTAGTCACAATTGGCAATTCCGATATTTCAGTTATATTATAACACAAGATATATATAGCCATTGCCATATTTATCACTTAAATAAATAAATTTCCAATATATGTAGTACGGTCCTCAGGTGAGCCGTTCTGCTATGCAATAAGGGGTTCAAAAATGCGAAAAATATTCTCCAAATATCGATGTTGTGATAAAATATAGAAATTGTGAATATGAAAGTAGGTACAAACTCAAAAGAGTTTTTCGTCTCAATCGTATAAAGAGGGGGCTCACACAAAATCAACATAA